CGGGGCGCGGGGCGCACGACGCGGGTTCCAGGACAACACACCTCCGAGCCCTAAGGCCTTGCAGCGTCCCGGGGATTCAGTGGGAACGGCAGCCCTATTCGCGGACGCGCCCGGGGCGGGGACTCGCGCCAGCTCCGCCCCTCCTCGCCCGGCGGTGCTGGGGTGCTTCAGGTCTGTCTGTACCTGGCATTTTATCCCTGGGTCTTTTGAACACCTAGCTCCTTGTCTGCAGTTGCCTGCTTCTCGTCAGTTGCACCCCCACCTTTGAAACATTCGGCCCCTTAGCGATGCGTCCTGTTCAGGGCACTGGCCTCCGAGGGCTCACAGTCTCCCAGGAGACCCCTCCCTTTGCAGTTTCAGATCCTAGTTAGAATTGTTTCCAGCTGCGGTCAGTGGACCAGAAAGTCTCACAGAGCCCAGGTCTCTTCCTGAATAAAGTGGAGGGATGCCCACATCCTTTATCTACAGGGCCTGTTTAATGATTACGTCCAGCCCGTGTCCTAAATTCATCTTGCCATAGTAAATTTTAACAACCCGGGACTTTTTCCTGCCACAGTGATCAGCGTTTGAATCATTTATAAATAGTGCTGGCTGAAAAAATAAAACCCTCCTTCCGCTCATAAAGATTTTAACAATCCCCAACGTGTCTCCTGCAGGTTTAACGGAAAGAAGATCAAAATAAGAGGGAAAAAAAGTATTTTTTATATTCAAGAAAATAAAAATTTGCCTCCAGACCCAAACCGAGAACGTGTAACCATTGTTTAGAGGTAACCAACACAGTCTCTGAAAAATCAGCCAATCAGACACAGCCTCTCTTCAGGGGCTTCCAAATCAGCCAGTTATCAACAGCTTCTGAAAGCCAGCTATCATTAACAGTAGCCCAATCAGCAGCTCAATGACTGGGCTTCGGAATGAAAGAGCGCTTCTCAGCCGCTTTGTTCTGCAGACCTCAGTAACAGCCATTAGTCTGTAAATTGCTAAACGGTCAATTTATTGAAACACCACAACCCCTACAGACCCAAACGCTATATACATCTTTGGCTTTGTTCGGAGTCTGCTTTGAGAAATCAGCTTTCCTTTGCAAGCAAATGTGATATTCACCCCGCCCCCTTTGATAGGTTTTATGTACCCTAGGCTGGCCTTGAACCACTGAGCCTCTAGCCTCAGCCTCCTAAATACTGACATTACAGGTCTGCATCATCATAGAGCTGGAAGGCTGATATAATTTGTAGCATAGACCAAAATTGTGTGCCATTGGACGTTTGACTAATGCTGTGGTGTGTATATACCACATCTTGTTTATTCATTTATCAGGTAATTGAATAATGGCTTGTTTCCACGTTTTCTGCGCCTTAGCTTGATGCCATTATGAACAGATGTCAAGCTTTTGTGAAGACTTTTTTTTTCTTGTATATGTAGTATACTCCTCAAAGTAGACTGCTTGATCATACAGAATCTCTATGTTTAATAATTTGAGGCGGTTCTAAACGGTTTTAGAAAAAAAGCTACATTTATATTAACATTGTCAAGGTATGAGGATTCCAATTCTTCCACGTGTTCCCAAACATTTAATGTCTATCTTTTGGATTATAGTCATCTTACTGGACATGAGGTAGTAGGTTAGTGATAGTCATCTTTTCATGTGATATTGGAAATAGTGTGAACAAGAATTCCTGGAAAGAATCCATGTCTGTAAGACTAATTGAAAACTACAGTGATGTGGAGAGGTTGGAGTGTTGTAGGTCCAGATGTTAATTACCTCATCTTGGGCTAGCTTTGGCCCCTAGAGTAGCCATTTCTTGCCAACCTTTGTGTCAGAACTAACATTCTGTGACTAATAGATTAAAACATTTGGAATATATTGATTTAGCAGACTACTAGCTTCTGCTAACCCAAAAGCTAAGAATGTCACCAGGCATGGTGGGACATACCTTTAATCCCAGCACTCTGGAGGCAGAGGCAGGCAGATCTCTATATGAGTTCAAGACTAGCCTGGTCTACATAGTGAGTTCCAAGACAGACAGGGCTAAGTAGAGAGACTGAGACTGTGTCTCAAAACAAAATACACACACACACACACACACACACACACACACACACACACACCTAAAACCCAAACCAAAAAAGGCTAAGAATGTCATCAGTTAGCATCTTAGGCCTTGTTGTAACTGCCTCTCTGATGTACCCACCAATGTATTTCAAACTTGCCTTGATTTTTTTTTTTTTTACTTTCTTTGTTCTGTAAAACTATAAAAACGTCATGAAACTGCTTCCAGCCGGGCGGTGGTGGCACACGCCTTTAATTCCAGCACTCAGGAGGCAGAGACAGGTGGATCTCTGTGAGTTTGTGGTCAGCCTGGTCTACAGAGTGAGTTCCAGGAAAGGCTCCAAAGCTACACAGAGAAACCCTGTCTAAAAAACAAAAAACAACAACAAAAACTTCATGAAACTGCTTCTATGTTGAAACAGACTTTGGAGTAACCCAAATCTGTGTTCAGCTCCAGTTTTCTAGAGCCATGGTCACTCAAAGTGGCTCCAGAATGAACAATGGGCCACCAAGTTACCATGCAAACTGAGTCATGCCCATTATGAGCTGGCTATTATCAGACCCACAAAGCCATAAAGTAGGACATACACAACAGCAATCCAACCAATATCAAATGGAAGTGGTATAGATGTGATCGGGCCCAAGCTGGTCCTGAAGGCACAAACAAATTATGTGAAGAAGTTGCCCAGATGCCTATGGTTTCTACTCCTGTTACAAGACCTTCTGTTTCCAAACGTACCTATGGCCTCAGGAGGTGTGCCTACGATCGGATGACTGAGGAAGAAAAGACCAGGATCTGGTTTGCTGATAGTGCTGCATGTGGGCACCACCCAGAGATGGACAACAGGAGCATTACAGTTCCATTCTAGGATAACCCTAAAAGACACTGGCGAAGGGAAATCTTCACAGTGGACAGAACTCTGGGTAGTACACATGGTCATACATTTTGCTTGGAAGGAGAAATGGCAGATGTACCATCGTTTACTGATTCATGGGCTGTAGCCAATGGATTGTCTAGATGGTCAGGGATGTGGAAAGAACATGATTGAAAAACTGATGAGAAAGACATCTGTGGAAGAAGTATTTGGATGGATGGCTCTCTCCAAATGGGCAAAGTATGTGAAGATAATTTTGTCCCATGAATTTTTTTTGACAGGGTTTCTCTGTGTATCCCTGTGTATCTGAAAATCTCTCTGTAGACCAGGCTGGCCTCAAATTCAGAGATCCACCTGCCTCTGCCTCCTAAGTACTGGGGTTAAAGGCGTGCGCCACCGTACCTAAATAATTGTGTCCCGTAAATGCTCATCAGACGGTGACACTGAAGAGTTTAAGTTCAGTAATCAAGTAGATAGGATGACTGGTTCTGTGGACAGTCAGACTCTCTCCAGCCACTCCTGTCATTGTCCAAAAGGCAGTCCAAATATCCAGGAATGAGCTCAACCTGGACTATAGGAGGATTTCTGGCAGTTAGATAAAAGCCAGCATCCCTCAGGAACTTGTGAAACTGGTTCTCATCTGCCAAAAGGAGTCATTTCCCTTCCCTCTGGCAGAACAGACATATGGCTCCATTGACATATACCTGTGATTGTGTATCCAAACTCATGCTGGCCTCCAGGCTCCCTCAGTATCACAAGTACCTGCTATACATTTCAAAGTTCACACTAGTGTCCCAGCTCTTCTCACCTCCCCAGGATTCCCCAAATACCCATTTGTTCTCCTTATAATGGCAAAGTGTGTGGTCCAGTGTTGTCCAGTCCCCCATCCCCCCCCCCCCCCGCCCCGGGCAAGTTCTCACTATGCTTTCTCTGTTCTCCATTCCCTGCTTGTTCTTCCTTCTCTCACAGAGAGCCCTAGCCGTCCCCAGTCTTTGGGTCATATTCAGTCTACTTCCTTCTCAGCTTTGGACTCTTCCAGATGCCTCTGGCTGTTCTCTCATATCTACAATAAAAATCTTAGCCATACCATGGAGCCATACCATGCCAGCATTTCTTTACTGTGCCTCCTCAAATACATCTGGTGCCAAAACACAGTAGGAGCCCAAATGGACCTCTTTCCCAGGGGCCCAGGCTGTCCTAACTGAAAAGCCGTCGATTTGACTGGATCATTTGTTTCTGCCGGCTTCTGCCACCCACCATATTTGACTCCAAATTTCAGAGTCCACCTCTGCAGCCGCTTCTCCTCCACCTGCCCTCATCACTCATCTATCTCATCTACTATGTCAGGTAAGTGCTTCCTTGGAGCGGCCTGCTCAGTCTCCCTCTCCCTCACTTCCTGGAGTCTACTGCTCATACAAAAGTCCTGCCTTTCTCATCCCACCTGGCCCAGGAACAAAGTGGCCATCGTGGGAGAGATGGAGGTTTTGCATAAGCTCAACAATATGGACTTCCTCTCACCAAGGCTGGCCTGGCTACAGCTGCTGCTGAGTGTCAAGTCTGCCAGCAGCAGAGACTAAGAGTGCCCTGATGACCAGCTAGTGACCTACTAGGCAGGCTGACTACAGTGGACCACTTCCTTTATGGGAAGGTCAATCCATGCTTTGTCCTTTCTATAACAGATACTTATTCTAGTCATGAATTGCCTTTCCTGTATGTAATGCTTCTGCTAGAACACCATCCATGTACTTATAAAATACCTTATCCATAGCCATGGTATGCCACACAGCATTTCTTCTGACCATAGAACTCACTTCACAGCCAGAGATATGAGCAATGGGCCTATGCTCATGGAATCTACTGGTCTTACCATGTTCCCCACCGTCCTGAAACAGCTGACTTGATAGAACGGTGGAGTGGCCTTTGAAGACACAGTTACAGTGCCAATTAGGTCAGCCTTTTGAAGACATAATTACAGTGCCAATTAGGTGGCAGTATCCTGGAGTGTGGGGGCAGGGTTCTTCAGTAGGCAGGATATGAAAGCAGGATGCTTTCAATCAGCATCCAATATATAGTACAGCTTCTCTTATAGCTGGCATTCACCGGTTCAAGAACCAAGGGTTGGAAATGAGAATGGTTCCACTCATTTGCTAGGGAAATTTTCACTTCCTGTTCCCTCAACCTTAAGTTCTACTGACCTAGAAGTTCTGGTTCCAGAGGAGTGAGTGTTCCCTGCCTGGAGACACAGCAAACATTCCATTGACCTGGAAGCTCAGACTTCCCTCTGGCCATTTTGAGCTTCAGATGCCCTTAAGCCAACAGGCTAAGAAAGGAATAACAGTGTTAGGAGGGGTGATTGATCCAGACTTCCAGGGGGAGATTGATTGGATTACTTCTCACTATGGAAGTAAAGGTTATGTCTGGAGTACAGGAGATCCTGTAGAGTGTCTCTTGGTGTTACCATGTCCTATGATTAAAACCAATGGGGAACTACAACAGCCTAATCCAGGAAGGATGATAAAGGACCAAGACACTCTAGGGTTGAAGATATGTGTCACTCTTGCAGGAAAAGACCTGGAACCTGCTGAGGTGCTTGCTGAGGGTGGAGGGCTTACAGAATAAGTACTAGAGGAAGGTAGCTATAAATATTAGCTAAGGTCACATGACCAGTTACAGAAACAAGGATTGTAATTGATATGTGTTTCTGTAACATTTCATTAAGAAAATGCATATATACACAGTTATTTGTGTTTTCTTTTCTCTGTTATCATGTAATATAACATCAATTGAGGTAATACTGGAGATGGTGTTGTAAAGTCTATTATATTTAGAAGACTAAGCATTTCTCAAGAGCCTTTGTCAATTTAAAAATATATGATGTGTTTGTGGTTATAGGTAGGATAGTTATGTTATGTGGAATTATAAACTAGTTATTGTTTTCTTTTCTTCTTCTTCTTCTTCTTCTTCTTCTTCTTCTTCTTCTTCTTCTTCTTCTTCTTCCTCTTCTTCTTCTTCTTCTTCTTCTTTGAGACAGGATTTCTCTGTATAGGCCTGGCTGTCCTGGAACTCGCCTTGCAGACCAGGCTAGCCTCAAACTCACAGAGATCTGCCTGGCTTTGTCTCCCGAGTGCTAGGATTAAAGGCATGTTATTGCCCAGCCAAATGTATTTTAAAAGCAAACTTACAAGAACATTCTGTGCTACAGACTACAGATATTAAAAACATATACTTGGGCCTGGAGAGATGGCTCAGTGGTTGAGAACACTTGTAGAACACTTGTTACTTTTCCAGAGGACCTGGGTTGGATTCCCAGTACCTGTAAGGTAGCTCAAAACCCTCTGTAGCTCCACTTCTGGGGATCCAATGCCCTCTTGTGGCCTCCACAATGGCACATCTGTTTGTACAGATACACACATAGGTAAAACACCATTGTTGCATAAATCCTAATTGGTCTTATAATAAAAACCCGGAGCCAGATATTGGGTAAATGGTGAAAGATCAGAGAGACAAAGAAACAAGCCACTAGAGAAACTTCTCACCACTACCGAATCCTCAGGCCAAAAGGGAGGCTAGATCCTGTCTCCATGAATTCTCAGACTGAATACCCCTGAGATCTCTCTCAGCCAAAAGGGTGCGGAACTTCTGTCTCCTCTTGCCTTATATTCCTTTCTCTGCCCAGCCATATCACTTCCTGTTTCAACCTTCCTAGTGCTGGGATTAAAGGCACGTAACTCCCAAATACTGGTAGCAAAGGCATGAGATCTCAAGTGCTAGAATTAAAGATGTGTGCCACTACTGCCTGACCTCCATGACTAACTCTGTGGCTGGCTCTGCCCTCTGATCTTCAAGCAAACTTTATTTGTTAAGAGTACAAACAAAATATCACCACACACCATACACATAAAATACAATTTAAGAAATTACATTTATGGCATTAGAGAGATAGTTCAGCGGTTAAGAGCACTGGCTACTTTTTCAGAGGACCAGGGGTCAATTCCCAACACCCACATGGCAGCTCACAACCTTCTGTAATTCCAGTTCTAGGGAATCTAACATCCTCTTTCTGGTATCTACTGACACCAGGCATGCAATTGGTGCACAGACATCCATGTAACCCAAACACTCATACATATAAGATAAAAATTAATAACAATTTTTAATTAAAAATAAGAAAGAATCTCCTTGCTAACGCTTGGCTCTATTTCACCACTTTATACAATCCTGGATCTCATGATGAAAGAATAGTCCTGCCTATGGTCCAGATCTATGTTTCTACATCAATTAACATAATAAGATAATTTCTCAGAGGCAAACCCAGAGGCCCCTCTCTCAGATGATTTTAGATTCTGTCAGGTTGACAACACAACCATTAGAGCTCCTTAGCAATCTTAATAACTCCCCTTTTGTGGTCAAATGCATTCAAGAACATACTTTGGAACTAGAGGCAGTGGGAAACCAGCCTACACTGGTTTTGGGTGCATGCACAATGAGGCAAACTGTGTCCCCTGAGTGAACTTTTAGGGAACATTACCTAAAATCATGCCTACACATGATTGGGCATATGTAAGATTACAATCAAATGCATCATGAGAAAGAACGTGCACAGCAAACAAAGGCTTGTGAAATCCAAGCTTGTCAATCAAGACACCCATACTCTGCCCCTAGCAACCACCTCCTCATGCTGGGCCTACAAAAAAAGATGTCCCAGGAAATAACGAGGGCACTGGAGCTCAGATAGCTCCCTGCTTTCTTAGAGCATAGCTGTCCTGCACTTTTCAATTTGCTTAACAAGAGGTTTTAAAAGTGTCTGTGTGTGGCCAGTGAGATGGCTCAATGGGTAAAACACCTGCAGAACCAGCCTGACAACCTGAGTTTGATCCCCAGAACCCACATAAAGGTCTAGAGAGCACCAACTCAACCAAGTTGTTTGACCTCGACATGCACACCACAGAAATGCACTCCCCACATACATCGTACACATGCATGCATGCACACACACTGATGGTAATAAGATGAAAATAAAAAAGAAGTATGTGGCTTGCCTTGGCTCTTACTGTTCTCTGTCATGTTAGGAGCATCTCACAGTAGTTGCTGGTCTTAGAATGAGGGGGCTTGTGAGATGGATTTCAATAGCATCTGTGGCCTGGAATAGAGATCAGTAGATTCCAATTAAAAACAGGAGAATTACAAAACTAAGAGTTTGGCCAGATAGGGTGGCACACACCTTTAATCCCAGCATACAGAAGGCAGGGACAATTTCTGTGAGTTGAGACCAGCCTGGTCTACATACTGAAACCCTGTCCCCTCCCCCGCCAACAAACAAAACCTAAGAATTCAAAGCTATGGGTAAAAATTTGAAGCTTGTGATAAGAGAATTTTGAGATGTACTAAATTAAGTTATAGGTCAGAGAATAGAGGGAGGAAAGAGATGAGATGATCATTTTAACTCACAGCTCAAGTTAAATTAACAGAAAAAGGGAAAAAGACAGGAAGGGAGGGAGGGAGGGAAGGAAGGAAGAAAGTTGTTTTGCATTCCTTTATACTAAAGATTACCCTCACACTAAGACTTGGTCCCCCTACCTCTACCTCTCAAGCGATGGGATTGCAGGCACATAGCAACACATCAAATAATGTATATCCTTTCTTGATATGGGTGTGCATTAGTACTTAGGCATTCTGGCAACAAATGATTTAATCCACTGGTGGATGTACAGCTTAATAGCTACTGCAAAGGGGAGGAAAGTGACCACGTTGCAGAAAGTGGGACATGTCTTTTAATGTAACTTTTTAAAAAATTATTTAACATAATTTCTTTATTGAGTCTTTGGGAATTTCACATCATGCATCCTAATTCCACTCACTTCCATATCCTCCCCCTCAACCCTGCAGCGCCCCCCCCAAAGGAAAGAAAACAAAACAAGCAAACAAACACAAAAACAAAAAACAAAACAAAACAAACAAAAACCTCTTCATTCCTCCATTTTCCCCACCTCTCCAACACTTCTTCATTGATTCTAGTGGCATTGGGAGCCTCGGTGTGTCATACAGGAGACCCTTTTGTTCAATCAGCTTTAATTGCAAATCTTCATTAC